CATCTGTTTATTCCAATCTCTCAATTTGCGAAATAGCAGGAAGTCCAGTGTGCCTAATTTGTGCTCATTAGTAATTTCCTTTAGAGATATTAAGATCTTTTGTGGTTTTCCTTTGCATCCTATGAGTTTTTGTGCGTGTGTGGTGTTTCCCACCACACATGCTGAGCTGTTGGCTGAAATGCCCCGAGGACCGCTGGTCCAGACAGTCACGGTCAATGTGTGAAACCAATGGAGCGAAAAACAACAAGACCTTTTGCACAACAGGGTCAACATTTAAATACACCTCTGCAGAGCTCATTTGCTGGTTGACACACAGGGAGGAGAGATTATTAGGTACAAGAAACCCTGACAGGACAGGACAGAGGGCGTTTTAGGATGTATGTTCAGGTCAGAAAATTTTAAGACATGGAATGGAACATGTAATACATTTTGGAGTCATACATTGATGTAGATTGTTTTTTTTGTTGTTGCTGTTTTTAACACTTTGCCAAAAATGTGATTAGAGCTAGTTTCTTATTGTTGTGGTGAACATCACCCCCTACTGTTCTGACACATATACTGCTGCAAAATACACCATTTAACGACGTAAAGACCAGGCAAATAAAATGAGACAAAAGGGTGTCTCACCAACAAAATAGGCAGCTACCAGATGTAATCATGCATAAATCTATGCATTTACTGGATAAGTTTGACAGCCTACAATTTTATTAAAAAAGGCCCTTTGGAATAACATTCCCACTACACACCCACTTTTATTGTCCAAGAGTGAAGGTGTGGCTAAATAGCAGCTTTGGCCTTTTGGTGCGACAGCCAGAGGAAATCTGTGAGTGTTTGTCCTGCCTGAGAGCTGCCAGGAGGCAGGTCAGAGGTCACTGGTCTTCTGAAGTGCTGCACTTTTCACTGCACTTTGTAAACTACATAATTTTATATTTCTATGGCCTTACAGTCTGCTTAATATTTTTTATTTTGCCTTCTGGGTACTGCTTTTGCTTTTGTCTCTTGTTTGGAAAGGTCCTAAGTAAATAAAGTTATCATGATTGTAATCATTATATTTGCAGTGAAAGATTGTGTGTATATTTCTTTATAAAGTAAGCACAAGTGATGTCAATGTCAATATATTCTTCAAGCCACAAATCTGCTGGCTGTGAATGCATAAAATACCGATATTATTAAATGGTAAACATGAAAGGATTTTTTTTACCCAGTAGATTGGCTGCGGGCTGCAAGGTGGTGCAGTTGGTAGCACTGTTGCCTCGCAGCAAGAAGGTTGCCGGTTCGCATCCTGGTGGGGGCACCGGAATCTTTCTCTGTGGAGTTTGCATGTTCTCCCCGTGCAGCGTGGGTTCTCTCCGGGTTCTCCGGCTTCCTCCCACACAGTCCAAAAACATGTTGAGGTTAATTGGTGATTCTAAATTGTTCACAGGTGTGAATGTGATTGTGCTTGGTTGTCTGTCTCTGGGTGTGGCCCTGCGGTGGACCGGCAGCCTGTCCAGGGCGTCCCCTGCCTTCGCCCTAAGTTGGCTGGGTTAGGCTCCAGCCCCCCCGCGGTAGATGATGGATAGATTGGATGCCTTTCAAGCACTGACATTTTTAACAGAGGACACAATCCTTGTTTTGGATTAGAGTCCCATTAACTCCAAATCAATCTCTGCATGTCTGAATTTCTCATTTGTGTTGCTATTTATGGACCTGTAAAGTAGCATGCAGCATTTTAATCTTATGTCAGAGAATAAACCCTCCTCTAGTCTCCTATTTGCTCTAAAATGTTCAAGATTTTACTTGACAGAACAAAATGTATTTATTTAACCAGGTTGCTGCTAAAAAGACTAATGGATGACACATCATAGATGCTGATAGATTAAGCTGGGGCTTGCCAGTATCCATGATATATTTATGCAATAACTTATCAGTGCTGACCCAATAGTCCACTGGGAGAAAAAGTGTAAGCATCATGCTCATAAATTGTATGTGATGAGGCCCCAATATATACATCTGCTGCTGCAGGTAAGGACGACAAATGGAGTATATCAAATTAACATCTTGGATACAATGATGCTTTCTTGCAAAAACTTGCTCATTTATAAAACTGAAAATGCTGATTTTTAGAATATTACTGAAGTGAGTAGTGTGATGTATCATAACACAGTATTGCAAATCTGGGCAATTACAAGAAGCTTCAAACCTACATATCAAATACTGTTTGCATTTCCACAGTTTACCTCTAGATGGTGCCAGTGTCCTCACTGTTAGTGATGGCTCAAGGAACTGACTTCTGCCAAAGGTAGCAGCAAAGAGATGCAATTACCTGAGCATGCAGCTTCAGATCACTATAGTCGGGAGGGATTCCTTTGTTAACCCTTTAACTGCCGTTCAAACAAATGGGTGACCAAATTTTACCCCTTACCGTTAACTGAAAACCTCACCTGGGCTCTTGCGCATTTTCACAGCACTTGACCATCATTTTTGATAACAAATACAACCAAAAAAAAAAAAACACCTGACACCAGAGGGCACTGTACTTCACTTGTGCAAGCCTGATCATGTAAAGGTAATTGCATGGTGTTTATCTTTTGTATTCTCATACATGTCATGACACTAGAAACACATACGGTTTTCTTTATTTCTGCACCACTTTTGTCCATTTGCATTCTTAGCATGAAAAAGTGATTTATGATATTGCATTGAACAGATTGACGTAAAAATGAACTGCTTATATTTGGTGGATTTATGACTAATCCATTGTTAGGTACTTTTTTATATATAAATTGAATTTTCTTATTTATGTATATTGGTCATAAGTCATTCCCGTTCTATCTTGCTTCTTATGTTAAAGAATGCAGTCTTATATTAGTAGCAATGTTTGATCTACACATCTTACTTCCAGTATTTTTAAATTTGCATTTCATTAAAAAATAAAAGCCCTCGGTTAGTTTTTTGCAACACAATGTCATGGTTTCATGTTCACTCATGTTGCACCACTCTTGTTTTTGAAACATGATTAAGATTCCGACCCACAGAACAAATCCTTTCGTCACTCTGCTGTGACTATGCTGTGACTATCTCCAGTCTACATCTATTCCATTATGCTCCGATGGTAGATAGTTCTGTAATGACATGGAGCTTTTAGTTTTATCACAGGAGTCAATCAAGGACAAAGACCAGACCAAAATACCTGCACACATACCTATCAGCTGCAAAGCCCGTAGAGGGGGAGGTAAAAAAAAAACGGTTCAGAAATAATGATTCACTCAGTGTCCCCTCCTGCTCCAGACTCTGCTGTGTGTACGTGGTCCCGAGACTAAATGACATTAATTATACTGCCATACACAAAGACTCTGTGGGAGAAATGCAGCATTGTCACACTGTTTCCTTTTAATGAGCGGCTCTGGAGCTTGAGAGTTTCTGCCAGTTTTCTGTGTATGTTGTCTTTCTCCCAGGAAGCTGTCACATCTTATTTAAAGCTTTGAGTCAAACCTTATTAGATGCTGTGTCTGTCATAATATGCAACATTGTGCGACAGCAGGGATTTTGTTTTTGTACTCTCTTTTAATATTGCAACAACTGTAGGCTTCACCTGAAGGGTCCACTGGAGCACCCTGCTGAATAACTCACACAGTTGCATCTAGTATGTACTATTGTATGGCATTTTCAATGTGTGGCTACTTTTAGTTCAGTGTAAGGCATGGAGGATGTCAATCGCCAGTGAGTGTAGTTCAAGAAAGAAAAAGCATATATGTGGTCTTATCAGCAGTTTTCTATGAGTTTGGCAATCTGCTCAGTAGTGTATCTGACATTTTTTTATTTGAAAAGAGAAGGTCGAGAGAACTTAAGTGGCTTCATTCCATCTCTGAGTTCATTTTTCTTTTACAGAGATGATGCTTGGCCACTTTTACTGCAGCTCTTACTGAAAAATGCTTTCTGCTATTGTGGAATGATTATCACAAATCTGGCCCTTTTAACAGTGGGATATGCAGTTGTGTATATTTATTGTGGAAAAAGCCTCTAACAACGATGTCCTGTGTGTGAAGCCTTTTGGTAAATGTTTGATTTGGGAACCCTCCTCTCACAGAAACTAAAACAAGCCCCTCGCAGTGCTATTCTTTGCGATCACTGGTGTGGAATTGAGGAAGCTGGGATGGGAGTGGAGTGGAAATGATGTTATAATCACCTCAGTGGGCCTCTGCAGTGTTCTCTGACATTCAGCACTTTTAATTCAGTTAACTCACGAACGCTGGATTTTGACATGTCAAGTGTGGTTAGGTCGATAATTGTTACACATTTGTTTTCTCGTGATTGCATCCTATAATAAATAATTCAGATTTCACTCAACCTAATAGAGAGCTACTGTTCTGTGTTGCTTGTCTCAACAACATATGCTCTAACAACAGCAGGCCCCTCTAGAGAGATCTCCTGGTTACCATAACAGCAGGTGAATCTGTTGAAGTGACGCTGCTTCCTTGGAAAGGGCCACAGTGTGTGTGTGTTGGGATATACTGTGTCAGGGGAGGCTCTTAAAGCTGCATGAGATTTACGAGTCCGTTGCTCAAACCTTTAGAGTCCACAGGCTTGAAATGAACCTTTGCCGATGTCACTATCATCACAAAGTTCAGTTTCAGCATTGATAAGTGAGAAGTCAAACAGAGAAACCAGTGACCAGCAGTGCATTCAACAAACACGCACACAATACGACCTTTGGCTGTGAGGATAGATAAGACCCCCCCTCTGGTTTCCACTTTTCCCCTTTCTGTCTTTCCTTGTTTGTGTGGCGTGTGTTTGTCCATTAGACATGACAATAAAAACAGGGATTTGACTTGTGGGTGCGGGACGCTAGTGACTTTAAAGAGATAAGGAGCTGCCTGCCCTGCCTGAAATGGCCGAAGTAAAACAGAAAGATTTGTCATGTAGGTGGAGTTAGTGTAGATCAGGGGAGGGTGAGAAACGAGGGCTCGAACATGTGCAGTAAAGTGTGAGGGCAGAGCTTCACTGGTCTAACAGAGAGTGAGAAATATAGAGCTTTGTGCAGTTTCACAGAAAAGACGGACTGTGCAAGTTTCTGAGGCCGCAGTGACAGAGAGAGGAAGCGTGATAATCAGTCTGGGAAATGACTGTGTAAATTATTTGTTGTTGCTCAGAGGCCGTGCTGTTCCTAAACAGACATGAATGGTGATGGCAGCAAACAGCGTTATGTGTCAACCTTCAAGATGCACATCAAGCCACCTTGTGCAATGTCTACATCAGGGAATGGACCTGGAACTACTGACACCAGGACCTCCAGCAAAGGTGCTGATCCAGGTAAGGCCTGCATGAGAGGGAGAGAGTGGGTGATTGTGTGTTTGCTTTGGATGGAACTCAACTGGTTAGCAAGTTATTAATGTCAGCATTTGAACAGACAAGTCTTGGCATGGCAATTCTTCCTCATAACGAGTTGGTCCACTGCAAAAACAGGCAGCAACAAATACTTCAATTTTCTCATAGTGGAAAAAAAAGAGATTATTTCTCAGAGAACGCACACCACACACTGTTTATGTCTCTTTAAGTTAATATCCGGTGTTGTGTTTGTCCTAAGTTTTAGATTGTTTATTGTAGTGATAACCTTTCACTTTCATGTTATGTCCGCCCAAACTAAACATCTCATTTCTTATGCCCTCAAAGCCTAGTTTTCTATTAGTTTAAATTAATCATTCCAAATGCACATTTGAATGTGTTGCATTTCTCAAATTCAAAAGTTCTTTTTCAGATTTATATTGCACGTGGTTGCCGTTTACATATCAGATATCGTACTACTTTTATTATTTCAATGTAAATATTTATCTGGAATGCTCTATCACACTTTTGTTTGTCAGATAACAACTTTGTATAGTATCTTTTACGTGTAAGAATTTCAGGAAATAACCAAAAGTGACTCGTTGCGCAAGTCTTAGGCTTTTGAAAGTTTCATGTTCAACAGAGTTGGGTTTAATTTTAGAGAAACCTTTAGCTGAGCTGCCTAAAAAGTCAGAGTGATGATGTGAAAGAGGTGTGAAGATCCACCACTTGTGCTCACAGTGTAGTTGAAAGTAGATAGCTCAGGGAAACAGCATTCAGTGCTTGTCCTCAAACATCAGAGTGCACAGTGAATAGTTCAGCATTGTAAATAGTGGCTAAAGGTTGATGGTACACCACATTTACTGTTAAACCTTAACTACTATGCTCTATGTGGTTTTACATGGGATTACAATGGTCAGAAGGATTTGGTTTATTTTTTATCAATGTTTTGTTAAGTTTAGCTGTCTGACAGGGCCTCTTCAATGGCACTTAACCCTTTATAGGGCACTCCTTGAAATACGTGGAAATTTCAACCCTAGGGTGTTTAAATAAATGCTTTTTTTTTTAAACATTTTAGTTTGAGGTAATGATACTTACACAACCAATAGAAAAGTATTTCTAAACTGTTTGGCTAGTTCATTTTGTGACATTTTTCTTGGGGGTAGCGGTGTTAGTGGCACTAATCTCAAAAAATAAAACAAAGTGGAGTTCAATGCAAGCCAGTAACAAAGCGTTTATAAAGTACCTGGAACATTTGTTTAGTGACATTTTTCATTAGGTAGTGATATTGTCTCTAATAAAAACTAAATCAAAGTGCACATAGTTCTTCAACCCAAAGTGGTTAATTGTACTGGGATTAATGGTGATCACAAATCATTGTGAGGCTAAACTGCGAATTAAAATCTTTTAAATCATGAAAGTTGACCCAATCAGGGGGGAGTGAAATTCTTGGGAACACACACTCCCCTCTGGAAAAGGTCCAAGGTTTAAGCAAGAATTTCATCAAACAGAAATAGACTCTTGCATTGAACACAATATGCCTTGGTCATGAAAAGCAAACACACGCAAACAAATTAAAAGCACAGTCTTGTCAGCATGAACTATGGGTTTTAAATGAGGGCAGATGACTGTGGTTTCCTGGGCCAGTGGTAACCTCAATTCATGTGACAAATTGTACAAGACAGAAAAGGAAGAACAGAAAAGGGGACAAACTGGTTGCAAACTGTTCTGGTAAATGGCAAGACTGTTATATTTGCATAAATTACATACATGCCATTGCTAGGGTGTAACACTTCTAGTACGTGTTACTTCCCATGTATGAAGCAGCCACAGAGAATACTTCTGGTTATACAGTAGCTCAAAACTAACAATAAAATAGTATTGGGTGGCCAAAATTTGCATGATACATCAAGAACCAAACTGAAAGGAAAGGAATTTAAAAGGCTAAAGTGAAGATCCAGCTGAGTGAAGTTTTGTGGTTGGTGTCGGGTCAAGGTCACTTATAACACAATCAAAATAAAGTTTTCTGTCTGTATCTGACTCCTTTTATCCTTCCACACCTCTCCTCCAAACCCAGGGCCTCTTACCCTTTCCTCCCATAAACATCTGGATCCGCCTGTCTTCATAGAGCCCCTGGAGGACTGCTGTGTGGACGAAGGAGGGGACATCACATTATGTGGGGTTCTCACTGGGAGTCAGCCAATCAAAGTGTCATGGTTGCACAATGGTGAGCAGGGACAATTTGCAACGCTGCATTGCAGTGCTTGTTTGGGGTCAAATATTCAGCCAAAGTACCCTAAAGCCCAGATACACTTAACTAGTTGGACACACATGAACAAAAATATGCTTTTTGTGACAGTTGCAACGTACTGCAAGCAATAAAACTACACTTTTACATATTCCACACATTTTCCTTGAAATACAGTTGAAACCAGAAGTTTACATACACTGTACAAAAAGAAACATCACCTTTTTTCCTCTCTGTCTGACATTAAACCAGACTAAACTTTTCCTGGTTTAGGTCAGCTAAGGTTACCAAAATTATTTCTATTCGCTAAATGCCAGAATAATGGGAGAGGACTTTGAAGAAAGTAATCAAAAAATCTCTCTATTATTCTGGCATTTAGCAAATTGAAATACTTTTGGTGATTCTGACTGACCTAAAACAGGAAAAGTTCAGTCTGATTTAATGTCAGACAGTGAGAAAAAAAAAGGTTATATGTCTTTTACAGTGTATGTAAAATTCAGGTTTCAACTGTATTTGGCATCAGGCGAGTGAAAGAGAGGCTTTTTAGTTGTGTTTTTGTTTGTTTGTTTGTTTGTTCCTACGGGCAGGTGAAGTGGCTCGTTTTGGGAAGCCTTCCTTCAATGGCAGGGAGGTGAGATTTGTGGTGAAAGACTGTTTACCAGAAGATGCTGGCGCCTTCACCTGCTTGGCAGAAAGCAGCGCAGGAAAGACATCTTGCAGCGCTGCTGTGTTTGTCAGAGGTGAGGGACTCATTTGGACACACTGAGAGGTGTTCCACAATGGGCATTAGAGGCAATTCATACAATTTGTCTTGCGTTTAATTACCAGGAAATTAATTTGCAACACAATTTGCTGCTAATTGCAAACCATGCCTTGCAGGGTTATAACAAAGAGAGCTTCAGTCAGTGGAGTATTTATTTTGTTAATTGCTCTGAACACATTATTTAGAGAGTGCAAGAGTTTCATTTCTTATGCAGTCTCTTCTCCTTTTTCTCTTGCTTTCAACCAACTCAGACTTCGAAACTATCTGTGGTGCGCAGAATCGTGTTTCAAAGATCGCCACTTCTGCATCTGAGAGCATAATGGAAAATGGAAGGTCATCAGAGACTCACAAAGATGAGTTGCAGAAACTCAGAGGATCTATTTGTGCATCTCCTACAGGCTCTGATAACCAGAGCCCAGTCTCATCGCCAAGAGGTAATCGGATAACAGTTCAATACATGTATGAAAACTTCATTTTTACATGAAAGTTTTTAGAATATAGTAAGAATATTTGCATTGAAGCTTCATTTTCTACTCATAAACTGTTGTGTTGCACAGTACTTAAATGTTTTGATGCACAACGAAAGCATCCTGGCCTCCTTACCATTGTTTTTCACCTTCAGGATATCCATGTTATATTTATAAAAGGAAACACACTTCCAGTCCTTGTGTGATTGGCTGTCAGGCGACATGTATACCAATCATACAAGATACACCCACTAAAACCTCTCAGTCCCAAGTGAACGCCATGTAGGGAAGTGGACAGTGCACAGTACAGTAAAACTTGCTGAGTCTGTAAACTGATAGCCATAGTCTGAAAAGAGCCACACCTCAGTCCTCCCCTGCTAAAACCTACCTGCACTTCATCTGTCCCTACAGAAGTCATCCCAAAGAAGAGAGCCAACTCAGGGACAGGTAAGAAAAACGCAACATTTTGCCTCCTCACTCACTACCTGCTGCCAAAAGACCGAGCAATGCACCTGTCTTTCCATTCATTCTTCTATTTCTCACTGTTTGCTATATTCTCTGCTTCGAGTGCTCCTATTTCTGTGAATGTAGCCTATCCACTAGACTCTGGTTTGCATGCGTGTGCTATTGTGGTTGGTCCTGCAGCTGCACCTCTTTTTTTTTTTAACCTTTGTCCTCACTATAATGTTGTCTGGCTCCAATTTATTGTGCTCCCATATCCTAGAAAACTTTTCCTTTGGGTGTAGGCAGCAAAAAGTAAAACCCTGAAAAACCAGCATTATAAGGTGTGAATGTCTGTTTTGAGTGTGTAGCATATTCTATATAGTTTCTTTATACTTTATGGTTTTATGATCAATATAAGGGATGGTTAGAGATCAGACTCAGAGGGTAAACTGTATCTAAGAAAGTTGTTTCAATAAAAGTTTATCAGATTGACTTTAGTCAAATTCACCAACCTGGAGCCGCAGTATTTGAATACTGACAGTGTGAGAGAGATGATGTTGACTTCAGCACAAATGTGGAATTATACAATATATATTTATAAGATCCACAGTATGACTTAAATTGTGTTTGCTTCCTTTAAGCACGTTTGTTTAAATAAGCAGTTGTGAGCATGTGAAACATGTAAGGTGTTCTCACGGAACAGATAAACCCTTTAACATGGCTTGACACACATGACTACAAAAGGACTGTTTGTACTTGTGTGGGGTAGGTCATCTATGTTTTGCATTTTGAGACGCTTGGTCTGCTGTATGCTACAAAAATAAGGGTCTCATGGTAAGCAATACACTCCCACTCATGCAGCACCAACCACATATCCCACTACCAGCCATTTCTTTGTCTTTATCTCACACTCACACACCACATCCGATAGCTTCCTTCCAGTGTGATATTTTAGGCATTCAGCTGCTGAATTCAACCAGACACAGCAGTGAGCTTTGAGCTGAAACACTTATGTTGTTTTGTCTTCGCAGGCCCAGTGTTACATTTTGAAAACCCACCGCAGCACCACGAGGTGAAAGTGGGACAAACCGCCAGGCTGACGTGTTTTTTTGCCGGCAGCCCCCCTGTAGTGTCCTGCTGGATCAGAAACAAAGAACAGGTGTGTTAATTTAGACACTTACTGATAGAATATCCCAAATTTACTTGTCTCTATGGTGTTTATCTTCCCAATGTTTTGTCTGCAGATAGTGGATTGTCCAGATCTGTGGACAGAAAATACTGATCGGAGCAGTACGCTGATTATAGCAGAGGCTAAACCACAGGACACAGGTCGCTACACTGTTGTTGTGAAGGACCGTAAGAGCTCAGCACAACACACTCTTACCCTTTCCGTCATAGGTAAGACAAGACATGAACTAAAGTTTCAAGATCAAGAAAAGTAGTGCCTTAAATGCTTTTTTTTTTTTTCATCTTCCCACCAGAGAAGCCAGAACCTCCTGCCTCCAGTCCTGTGATTTCCCTCGTCTCTGCATCCAGCCTCGTGCTGTCCTGGTCGGGCCCCTGCTACGACGGCGGCAGTGCCATCCTGGGTTATGTGGTTGAGTTAAAAAATCAAGAACACGGTGAGCCTGGGGACTGGAGCGAGCTCACTGCCCAGTGTAAGAGTACCTCATACAAAGTGTCTTCTGGGCTGCAGCCTCAACAGAAATACTGTTTCAGAGTGAGGGCCTATAACGCAGTGGGAGTAAGCGAGCCAGGTCCAGTGTCACCAGTGGTGAGGATGGAGCAGAAAGGTGAGGTGACACGAGTTTTTGACAACACATCTGGAAATATAGCCAAATACTACAGGCCTTGTATTAAAGTTGTTGTGTCTGTGTATGTAGATTCAGACAAAAAGCAAGGAGAGGAGCCCCCTCAAGTGTATACCAGTGTCACCATTGAGTCCTCCCACAAAGTCAGCGATCACTACAATGTACTGGAAAGACTGGGAATGTGAGTATGTGACAGGTCGAGTTTTTTCTATTTTATTTTATTTCATAGCCAAAAAAGCATTTTCTTCAGAAAGGGTGAAGAGGACATTTCAAAGGAAAGTCTGTTTGTGTGGGAGGAAGGGAAATCCAGCCAAGTGCAGCAGAGGGAGGATTAAATTATATGCATGTAGAGACATGGTCATGTACACCAAGGTGGGTCTGAAAACATCACTGGCTGCAGTTAATATTGGCAAAGAATGTACAGTAACTTTGAGTGACAAGAGGAGGCATAAATCAGTTGTTTCAGATGGAAGATTATTTTAATCATCAGCATCTGTTGTCAAGAACTGTTGGTTGTGATGGGTTCATGATCTATGACAGTGCAACATTCAGATTTCAGTCAAAGATAAAAAACTGACTAAGCTCTTCATTAGGGGGAAATTTGGCTTGGTCTACAAGCTAACACACAAAGAGACAGGACGCGTGTGCGCTGGAAAGTTCTACAAAGGACGTCGTGCCAAGGAGAGGGAGGCTGCACGGAAAGAGATTGAGCTGATGAACTACCTCCATCACCCCAAACTGGTCCAGTGTCTGGCAGCATACGATCACAAGCCTGAGATGGTCATGGTCATGGAGTTGTAAGTATCGTCATGTTAAATTCATACAGCAGCTGCAAATTCTGGGTGTGTCAGTGCTGATAATAGTAATAATAGTAATAATGATACATAATACTTACATGGCACAAGAAGCTTCACAAAGTAAAAGTGTTGTTTGTCTGTCTGCAGTATCGCAGGTGGAGAACTGTTTGAACGTATTGTGGATGACAACTTTGAGCACACAGAGCCTGCCAGCGTGCGCTACATGCAGCAGATTGTGGAGGGGATTGCATACATGCATCAACAGAAAATCGTCCATCTGGACCTCAAACCTGAAAACATTGTGTGTGTTGACACCACTGGCACCTCTGTTAAGATCATTGACTTCGGATTAGCCAGTAGGATTGGTATGTGAAACACAGCTGTCTTAGTATGCATTTGTCTGACTTGTGTGTGCTTCAATACCAAATTTTGTGATTTATGTGAAACAGATGGCAGCACACCTCTGAAAGTGCTTCATGGGACTCCAGAATTTGTGGCACCTGAAGTGATCAACTATGAGCCCGTGTGTTTGGAAACTGATATGTGGAGCATTGGGGTTATCTGCTACATCTTGTGAGTCACACTGTCACTTCTATAGCCCTTTAATCAAAGGAATAGCTTTTGGGAAACATGGTTTTTCACTTTCCTGCCAAGAGGTACATGAAAAGAAATATCACTCTCCTGTCTGTCCAATGAATGCAAAGCCTGACCTTGGTTGTCTTGCGCTCCAGGAAGTAATTGTGTAAGACACAACCCAGCAAAAATCCCCAGATAAAAGCTTGAAGTGGCTACAATAAATATTTGCATAATAGCTATATATCACATGACAACATGAAAACAATGTGACCTGGTTAAAGCTGCTGCTTGTACAGATGACCCACTAGAGAATTATCACTTGAGACTGCAGGCCCTCTTTATCTGCTTTTACATCTAACTCATCTTTTAGTTTAAATCTCTTTCCCAAAATTGTATTGGTTTGATTCACTTTAGTCACTCTCATAGAACCATTTTCAGCTGCAGCTAGAAAAAAAAGGCTCTAAAAATCAACTGTACTGTAAGAGTAGCACCGATCGACAGACAGACAAAGCAAGTGACTAGGTCAGGAGCTGGTAGTTACCAAACTGAGATAAAAGAGACTGAAAATCGTTCTTACCCACCAGGTTTTTGTGTACTGACTAAGCAAACAGCATTGAGTGTTAATCATATGAGGCTCAGGGGTACTTTTGGTCAAAACCAGGCAAACTGTTTATCCCAGTTTCCGGTGTCTGTACCAAAGTGAGTCTATGGAGGCTTCATATTTACCATACAGACAAGAAATGAGTATCCTTTGTGTGTGTGTGTCATGCATATCTAGTGTATGAACTTCTGCATTGGTAAGAATGGATTTTGTGCTTGAGAAAAACATAGGATAGAGTCAGCCGGGCCCAGTTGCGTGACTAACTTGTCTAATCCGTGTTGTTTTTCAGTCCAAGGGCCCTTCGTCAGTTGCAAGTTTCAAAAAACACTTAGTATGTGCTGGAACATGAAAGATTGATTGGACTGTGCTGGTATTAATAGTGGAATTGAGTTTAAGCGTTATGATGCCATCTAGTGGTCAAGTGTTGTAATAGTCAATAATATACAATGACACCATTCTTGTCTGTTTCTATATGGTTTTCAGGCTGAGTGGTGAGTCTCCATTCCAGGGAAACAGTGATGCAGAAACCCTGGCCTTGGTTACAGCGGCTCAGTGGGAGTTTGAAGAGGAGAGCTTTGAGGAGATAACAGAAGAGGCCAAAAATTTCATCAGCTCCCTGCTCAGCAAAGACACCAGGTGATTTCATAAGCATACAACTACAGCAGAGCCAGTAGATACCACCTTCACTTAACGACCCACAACTCTCTCTCTGTGTTTAACAGACGGAGGATGTCCTGTAATGAGGCTCTCAAACACCCCTGGATGGCAGCATTTGACTCTGGAGACCTCACCACCACCAAGAGTCTGTCCAAAGAGAAGATGAAGAGGTTTCTAGCCAGGCAGAAGTGGAAGGTAACACACTGGTATAGTACTTTCATATTCTCCCTTAAGTTTGATGTGGTGTTTTTGTTTTCTAATAGACATTTGTTTTATAGAAAGCCGGCAAGGCCATGTTAGCCCTAAAGAGAATGGCTCTGCTGTCTAAAGGTGATAGCAGTGGATCTCTCACAAGTCCCAGAGAAGGTGAGACACTTTCTTTAAACAATTATCAGGACCATTTTCATTTTCTGGTTTAAGCTAGCTACTATTATCCTCTTTTGTCCTCGTCTCTCTCTCACCTAGACTCACCCCTGAGCCCAGAGGCAGAGCATGCCTTGCAGTCTCTGGAGCGTAAGATGCAAGGACCACCCCTGTTCACCCAGAGCTTGGAGGACCAGACTGTAGTTCAGGGATCCAATGCCCAACTCTCATGTCACCTCACAGGTACTCTTACACTCCAACCAACTTATTTCACACAAGAGGACTTGAACGTTGATCCACAATGAAACTTAAAAGCAAAAACATTCAAGTTTGAACTATTAACCGGGTAAAATCAAACGATGGAAAAAAGATAACACATTAGATGTACTGCTTACTGTGTTCATTCAATAGGCACAATTCAGGCCTGAAAGACTTGAATCTGGACTTTCCTCCGAAGACATGAAAGCAGCTTTGCTCTGATGCCGTTTCGCTTTATTTCAGAAGTTGTCCACCTTGCCCCTGACTTCACTCCTGTTATCTATCTTGGCAGGATACCCTGACCCAGAGGTGGTGTGGCTGTGTGGTGAAGAACCCGTGGTGGAGTCACCCACAGTGCAGATAGAGTATGAAGACGATGGCCGCTGTACCCTGGTTCTATCCAAAGTTAGCCAGGAGGACACCAATGTTTACACCTGTAGAGCCACCAATGACCATGGGGAGACATTCTGCTCAGCCAAACTAACTGTTCAAGAATAATTTCATTGTGACTATGTATGCAGACATAGAATGTATAAATATAATGTTCTTCGGTGTCCTGAAAAGCTGTATTGTACATTCCTGTTTTAATATGAGGACTACAAATTGGGACCAAACTGTGCAACCTGAGGTGTGGCTGGAAGTATATAACGTGTATTATTGCACAAAATTCTGATGAATATTGTTACAGAGCTACAGGAATGTTATCTTTAAACAGTCAGCATTAAACTACTCTAAAGCAGCGAACACTAGCACAAAAAATAAACAGACGGAAATAGTCCCCAACAGACTGTTTTGGTATACACTACTATACTACTGTTCACAGCTTACAGCAACACATTTAGCCTTATCTTTAGCAGCAGTGCGCGGTTTCTGATCTCGCTTAAAGAGTGCAATCCGTGGCATCAGGCCCGTTCTAGACATAACAGTGGCCTCCATATGTTGATATGAGTTACAGACCTCATTTAAAACCACACTTGCACATTACAAAAAACATGTTTCTGTGTTCAGTCAGGTTTTGCACCATGAACATGTGTTATGCTGTTTAGGATAATTTTTTTCTCATTGTATCAGTTCACACAATCCCAGTGTTGAGGTCACAAATCAACCCTTCAAAACACATTAGCTGGATCATTTGGGTTGATGGAGTTATCAGATGTCCACTTTCTTTTAAATGTTCATATTTTTTTCCCTGTCACTGCAGGGCCACATTTTTTTGAATAGTGTGCTTCTGCCAGGTTTGCCTTTATTACGGCCACTGGTTTGCCTTCATGTGGATGAAATACGGGGTAGCAATTAACTTGTGAATTTGTGTGAATATGTGCAGTCACAGAGGGAGACATAGGGGAAATATTTCCATGACAAAAGAATGTTGGCAAAATCTGTTGCTTTACTGTCGGCCTGCTGAATTTCAGACTGTAAACAATGCAATGGGGGCGTGAAACTGCAGACCATCCACCTGTAGAGGGAGGGGAAAAGAACATCTTGCAATTATGTATATTTTTCTTAAGTTTTTTTTTAAATATATTCACATTGAATTTGTTATGACAAGAGGCACCTCAAATCAACAGAAACCTGTTGATGTTAGTCTGTTGATTCTTATATTTTTGCCTCGGCCAGAAAATCAGGTCTGCACAGGAGCCACTCATTTCAACAACATAGCACAGAGATAGACATTGGAGGGTTACTTTTTGGATACAGCACAGACGAGTGTGAACTAAGAATCCAAAAATCAGTTGCTATCCTTTGCAAAGTATTTGTTGTGACATCTTTTAAAGAAAAACATGCAAAGGGAGAGGGCAAGTATGCTCATGCTCCAGGTACAGCTTAAACCCTTCCCTGATTAATAAAGGAAGGTCTTGCGCACAGCTGAGCGGCAATTCTTCTTTGACAAAAAAACTGTTGTTTATATGCCCCATTTAAGCATTTGTTCAATTTCAAACTGATAAAATAAAAAAAAAACAATGTTACATTATTTTGAGAGCTGTTTCTAGTTTTTCTGGCTGTATAAATTGAGAATTTCAAGAACAAATCAGTAAAGCCTGAATAAACAAAGAGCCTACATCCTTTTGGAAACTCTTCACAAAAACAATCTGCAGTTACACCATATAATCCCCCTTTAGTCTCAGTGGCTGATTGTCAGTTTTGCAGATTTCCTTCTCAGTCCACAGATCCCAGTATTCATAACATGGGTAAACCACTGCAATGTGTCCTAAAGATCATTAGCAACAAACATGTATAACTATTTTTCCTACTGAATTTTAAATGCAAATTAAGATGTGCTTGCAAGTTTTGGGGAATAACATGCAGCACACTACCGAGCCAAAAAAAAAAAAAAACAAGGAAGTTGACACCATATTGCAGCATATACACATTGTTGTATAGTTGTCTGTTTTTCAAAGCATTATCAGATGGAGATAGAGACACAAGATCAGAAAGGTTGAAATTTATTCTGATGCACAGATGTGATAATTACAATGTCTCAAACAAAGTGCGTTACGTTTAATCATTTGCTGTTTGTTAAGATAAATGTATTTACAACACATGATTAGTTTGGCTTGGTGTAAACGACCTTAAAGTGTCACAGATTCCACTTTTCAATCTACTAGTTGGCAGTGTGAATAAAGAGAGATTTATTTTATTCTAAAAACCTGAAATCATGTTTGAATTAGACGGTGAAAAGCAGAAAACCGCTGAAGGTGTTGTAGTTCATGCCATCATCATAGACAATCCTGTTGGCCTGGAGTTCCACATACACATTGTCTCCCACCTCGAGGAGGATGACCACAGCGTTGCTGCCCATGTCGTTGCTGTCAGACCCCGAGGTGTCCCACACGGATGTTAACCTTTCACTGTTCTTCATGAGGCTCACAACAGAGCTGGGAACAGATCTGAGGTTGTTGAACATTGAAAACCGAAAGAAGTACATTCCTTTGACCACCGCAGTGAAAATGCCTGTCAAAACAACGAGAGAGGATTAACTTCCATGAGTTTTATTTTGCTTTCTCTCTCTTTCTCTCACACACCTCCACACACATTATTTACCTGTTGAAGGATTGTAGCTGCTGCCAGTGTTTGAGAAAACCCTCCGATACTTAAGTGGGGTAGCAGTGTTAAAAGGCCCGGTGTCTCCAGAGCCAGATTCCCTGAGAGCTGCAGAAAAGGCCACCCGAGGAGTGCCTGAAAGCATCAAATTAACCACAATACATCAGAATAAGAATCTATACAGAGGAGAATTATATTCCATTATACCAATGGTGTTCAAGGAAAGACCATAAAACCTTAAAATTATAATTGCCATCCAAATAGCCTCAGTATGTGGCAATATTTCTTACAGATAGCCTAAGAAAAGTCTGACATGCAATGATTGTGCTTGTATAAATGTAGCATTTACCAAAAGTGTCATATAAAGTTTGCAAAGCCTCATTTTCAAGTATTTTAAGAGTGCATGTAAAATATTAATCAGCTTTACTTTGACTATTAATATTATTTATATATGTTTAGTTTCTATTAATATTTGCGATGTTAATCCTTAATGCAACATACCATCATGACAAAAAGGGTTAGAAGTATGAAATTCCTGAGCCATGAACTTTCTTTAAACATCAGTGCATATCCAATAAAGAACATTTGCCACATTACCACCAGTAAGGCTACGTAGTTCCAGGACTTCCTTTTCAGTGTTTTGCAGCTTGGTCTCCAGAAGACTTATTTTTTCATCCATGTTTGCGATTTTCTCTCCCACTGCTCCCAGGTTTTGAGTTAACGAGGTGCGGGAGCAGATGTCACAGTAGCCAACTGACGTTGTGCACTGACTGGCTTTTTCATTTCCATCATTAGTTTGAGGTTCGCAAAGGCAGCAGCTGAATGCAAGAATCAGAGCTGCAATCTTCTTCATCCTTGTGGTTTTGAAATCTTTGCTTCAATGCAATGTTTCCCTGAGAAGTCTCCTCTTTTTATACTTCACCTGAAGTTACGTAAACGTGGAAAGACCAGTTTCACTCTGTTTCCAAGAATCCTACACTCTTTATTTAACCCTTTAACACCCAAGTATCTTTCAGACCATCTGGACTTTATTTTTGTTGTTGATATTTTGGCTGTGAAAGAGTCACAAATCATACAATGAGTAATTGACCCAGTACCAAATGACAAACGGCCCTGGACTGATCCACGGCCCGGTGGTTGGGGACCACTGGTTTAGGTGACAGGTACTGTTATTTTGTTTTTGAAGAATTTTTTTAACTATAAAAAGAGGGACATTTGTCATGCATTTGGAACCAAAAATACATCAACTTATCAGAAAATTGATTTAACACAGTATAAAAGTCTTTAATGAATACCAACAAATGTTTTGCACATATTCTTTCTTGAGGTCCAGTGGACCCCAAAAGACCTTCTGCGTCTGGCAACATGAAAGTCCTGAATAGGGGTAATAGTGGCAACAGCAGGGAAGAAGCCACAGTTTTCACAACGTAACAAGTCTGTGTTGTTTACAGCTTGGGAAAGGAAGCTGACTGTAGGAAACCAGTGACACAACCAAGTAAAAAAAAAAAGAAGAAGAAAAAAAAGAATAACAAGGAAGTTGTAACCGTATTGCAACATATACACATTGTTGTATAGTTTCAAGTCATGTTAATTCCTGTGAGTTGGGACATTGCTATCCATCCATACACATCTGAGGTCAGGCTCTAGTGTCAGGATGACACAGTCCTTAAAGTTGTGGAGACCTACTCCCATTACCAGTAGTCCATGAGACATTCAGGGAGTCTTTTACTATCAGTCGACTTCAATTACTGTGTTTGATGTGTCTCATGGTTTGGACAGTACCCTCGTTTCTACAGTCCTAATTAAACATACCTCTTGGAGATGTGCCATGTTAAGAAAGAGGTGCTGGTATTTTTGATTCGATTTTCGATATTTTTATATTTTCCCCTGTTTTATATTTTCTCTCCCACTGCTCCCAGGTTCTGAGTTAACGAAGTGCGGGAGCAGATGTCACAGCAGCCGACTGACGTTGTGCCCTGATTGGCTTTGTCATTTCCATCATGAGTTTGAGGTTCGCAAAGGCAGCAGCTGAACGCAAGAATCAGAGCTGCAATCTTCTTCATCCTTGTGGTTTTGAAATCTTTGCTTCAATGCAATGTTTCCCTGAGAAGTCTCCATGTTTTATACTTCACCTGAAGTTGTGCAAAACAGGAAGTTTCACTCCCTTTACAATAAACCTACCCTCTTTGTCTGATGCCAATCTTGGCCAGGCTGTTGTTATAAAAGAGACTGTTAATCTCAATTGAACGCTTCCAGGCAAATACATGTTAAAAAAACAAACAAAAAAAAAACACACAGAGTGAAATACTTGCAAGAATATTTAGAAAAACATACAAATGTCCAACAAGTCATTGATGATGATTTCACAGTGGGTAATATACAGCATGTGCTGTGAGGCAGAAGTTAAAATATAGGTCACACAATAAATAACTAAAGTCCAAAGAGATGTGATCAGATTTAACAGATAAAGCTGATGTTGCAACCTTGTCCAAATGGAACATATTGCAATTTCTTTGACCTGCCTCGTACATTTCAAACTGCTCCTTCATTCAAAGGAACTAAACATGTAGGTACAGCTAGTAAATATACCTGAATAGTGATCAACAAGATCTTTACATGTGAAATGAAAAAGTAAAATAATAAGAAATCAGTAGGACTGAAAAAACAAATCGGAGACACAGGTGATGATAAATATCTTTAAAAGTAGGTTAAATAGGGACAAATGATCATAATTCTGTCTTTCCCACCATTTATATTACATGTTGATGCCACAATATGTTTGTTCACTTGGTGAAGTATGGCAGCTTTTTTTTTTTTTTTACAATGACTCATTGCTCATATAATGTTTACCTAACTGTTCTCCTTTTGTACTCCACCTGAAGTTGTGCAAAAAAGGAAAACACTTGAGTTTTACAAAAAAAAAACCCAACAACAACAACAAACAAATAAATATTACTTGTTAGAAGGTTGAAAAAAAACATAAAAGTGAGATACAAACATATAATAGTGTCTAAAAACTGATTAATGACGATTACACAATGGATGATTTACAGCGTGTTACTGTGAGGCAGAGGTTAAAATATAGGTCATACATCACATTACTAAAGTCCAAAGAGATGCCATCAGATTTCAAAGACAAAGTTGATGTCGCAATCTTGTTCAACTGGAACACATTGCAATGTGTTGGCCATGCCACATAAAATTCCAACTACGCCCCGATTCAATGGGAACTGAAAGATCTCCACTAAAGCAGAGTCAGTTAATAGTCCGTGCTGTACCTGAATTGACAAGTTTAAGTATAAAATCAAAAAGCAAGAATTGTAGCAATTAGTAGGAATGCCTTATTTGGTGAGACAGGGGATGATAACATTTTAAAAAGTAGGCTAAGTGAGGACAAATGACCACGATTCTGTCTTTTCCATCATTGGTACGTTGATGCCTCATGATTGTTCAGTTGGTGAATTAGTGGCACTTGTCTTCACAATGACTTCATTTGCTCACATAATGTATACTGACTTATTTGTATGTATACTGACTTTATTTTTATTTTTATAGCGTGGGTTCTCTCTGGGTTCTCCAGCTTCCTCCCACACAGTCCAAAAACATGTTGAGGTTAATTGGTGATTCTAAATTGTCCGTAGGTGTGAATGTGAGTGTGCTTGGTTGTCTGTCTCTAAGTGCAGCCCTGTGATAGACTGGTGACCTGTCCAGGGTGTCCCCTGCCTTCACCCTAAGTCAGCTGGGATAGGCTCCAGCCCCCCCATGACCCTAATGAGGATTAAGCGGTGTTTAGATAATGGATGGATGGATGGACGTACAATTAGTTTATGACTGTAGGTCTTCTGCTTAACATAAGCATGCTGTATTAACACCTTTCAGCGAACATAGATTTTATATTTTATAAACTGATCTTACAAGCTGCTGTCTCATTTTGCCTCTGTAGTGTTTTATTCTACAGTACTTTGTTTTAAAATTTGATTATACTAGTTTTGTATGTATTTTGTTGCTGACTGTCTCATTACTCATAAAGCACTTTTGACAACTCTGGTTGTTTTAAACATGCTGTATAAATACATTTGCCCTGATTTGATTATTTGGTGTTAAATATTGTTTGTACTATTACAAGTCTCTATTGTCTCAGAACAAAAATAGCATTGTTATGCAAATATACGCTCGCTTATTAATGTAATAAACAATTTAAAGTCATTATGAAAGAATGAATTGATTTGCTCATGAAAACCAGTAACAAGACTGCTCTGAGCACCAGTTACTCTTCACTACTGGACTGGAACTCTTCAAACACATTTTTTTGCATCGTTTATATCTGAACGACATTGTTTGCTGTCACGTTGACCTCTGCAATCCCTCAAACTCTCTTTCAACATTTCATTCCGCCCTTCTCCAATGACTCTCTCACTATGTGTTGTGTGTGTGTGGAGTGGAGGCAGGTTTGCAGGTGCCAGAGCACAGCTTCACCACAATCATCAAGCCTCTACAAACAACCATGCTCTGCCACTACCCCAGCCTGAGAAACAACATTTTAAGCCATTTGCTATTTAGAATTTGTTTGCTTGTTTACTCTTCTGAATTTACTTTGTGCTCTATGTTTGCAGCTCTGCCTCTTCCAACTCCATCCCTTTGTTTGTCTCAGCTTTTGGGTTAACTAGCTCCAAGTAACAGGGCGTCATCTATAATATGCTAAATGTAATTTATTAGGTCCTATTATGTTTGAAGGCATGACCTCATCACTATGTCCTCTCTGGAACTGACTGCTGCACATTTAGACAGATTTACATTTCACTTGTCAGAACATCCTCCCACAATTTTACAAAGAAAACATCCGTATCCAACGTGATCATTTAAAAATCATACATTTATTTCTATCCATAAAATAAATAACAATGCACAGAAAGTTAAATAAATTAGCTGGTGACTTATAAATAAATATTGTAAAATATATTCGATGTACATTTCAGTTCCGGAATAAGAGCGAGTGCAAACAGAAGATCTGGTCTTCTGTGTAAGACAAGGCTTGATCCAGGTAAAGCAGCAGGCTGCCAGGGTTTGAATAAAAGTCAGTGAACAGAGGGAAGGTCAAAGACGTCGCCTTAAGACAATCGCCTCCTCAGCGGTGCCGCATGCTGATTCCTGTAAAGTGTCGCCGCCCGTGACTCAAAGGCACCGACCATTTGCTTAACCACTTCATCAAAGAACACACTTGCCAGCTGAGAGTGCAGAAGGGACTTGAACTCAAATGACACCTGCGGAAGACACAGAAGGAGGAAAAGCATGTTATCTCACCGTTTCTGACAATCTTCTATTGAGTGACATTAGCAATACATTTTCCTACAGTTGAAATTCACACATCGTATTTAAATTGCAGTGTTAAGTTATTTTTGACAGTCAGGCTTTACTTCTTTTAAATGCTTATGGGTTGCACAACACCCCTTGTTTAACATGTTCTACTGAAATCCTACCACTTCCTGGCTGACCCTGACATAATCTGAGCCAACATTAAGGTCACACTCCTGTCACCAGCTCTTTAACACTGTTCCCTGCCCTGACAGCTATTTCAGGCCTGCCCCAGTGGACACCAGCATGTTACTAAAGACTAAATTTAGAGCATAATGAGATTTTAGTCAACACTTCCTCTCAGTTCGTAATCCATTTACAATAGTACAGGAACGGAGACTAAAAATTAGTCTCTCCTTAAGCATGCAATCTGATCTCCTGTGAGCAAGTTACTCCTGGGTGGGTTTAATTTTATGGACTCACTGTCAATGTGCTTTTTTTTCCTGTTGCGGTTGATGACAAAACTTGATTTCATTATGGCTCTTGAGATCCCATCTTCACTTTAAACACTTACATAGAAATCCACTTTGCAGGAGCCTGGTTGGTCTTTGGCTCCAGGAGAGAATCTCCATAATGTTTCAAGATGGCTGAAAAGGGATCCATCAGTGCACACAGCCTGTTTTAAAAAAAAAGTTTAAAAAATTACCATTTATTCATCATTGACTGCCAAAAGACAACATGCCGAGAAGATCACAGAATCAACTGTTCCTCTCATGGAAACTGCCGTTCTACAATATTGCGTCACACTAAGCTATAAATAACTTGCTGAATTGCTTGTTAACCCGAAATAGGATGTTGTGACGGCACCAGCAGTCCACTACAGCTGGAAGAGGCTTACGTAAAAACTGCAGTTCCTCTAATCCTTGTTCATGTTGGTTCTTAGAAAACTTCCACTGTACTAACATCACCAATCAACTTCTCTCTTCACACGAAAAAAGTCAGAAGTTTTTCCTCTTAAACATTAACAAACTGAAGCACCACAATGGTACAAACTTTGGGTGTGCTATCTGCGTTGTGTTCAGAGGGACTTTTCAGTAACTCAAAGTTAAACAGACCAAAATTTAAACTCATGTTATTAAAACAAAAAGCTATAAAAAGGAGTTTTCAGACAGACATTGGAAAAAGTATAGTGTTTGTATTTGCCTGAACAAGTACTTACTCTGACTTGGTGGTTTGGAACAACGGTGACCTCAGAGATGTATCGCTCAACAATGGGGGCAAAACCGATTTCAAGCTCTGCTCGGATGTCACCGTTTGGTCCCTTCATGACCCGAGACTTCTTGCACCAGGGCACAAAGTACTGGTACTGATCCACACTGGACACCACGCCGTACATCTGCTCCGGAGTGTACCTGAGCACAGAGTTACATAAAGACAGAAGCACAACCAGTGAGACGATGTCGCCGTGTTAATATGGAGCAGTAAGTTCACCTGCTGAAGCGGTTTGCAATTTCTATTTAATGCTCGGTTTTGAGTGGATTTTATAACCCTATTTTGTTGAATATTTATCAGTTGTGAAAATGTGACATTAATCTAATCAACAATATGTTTTCCTTTTGCCACTCAAGTTTTTACATTTTGTTTTATTTACTCATACACACAGTGACATGGTGCATGTTTTTTGGGCCCCATTTTCTTACAGTGGTTTTTTACCTATTACATACTCTAAGGGGGCACTCACCCTAATGTCCGGGACTCTGTGTACTCAATCCTGCGGCTGCTGATGGAAGCAGCCAGGTTGATGAAGCTGCGGCTGGGTGTGCTCAGGGGGGTGGCAGGGCAGAGGTTGAGACTGGTCCTCCTCGCAGCCAGAGCCCCACAAGAACCCAAGTGTCTGAGGAGAGGACATTATGCATTTGTAAGTACATGAATGGGTTGTGAGAGAAATATCTCTGTTTCAGTCGGTCTGTGTCATTTACACAGTTTGTTCAGGATATGTAGGTTTTTTCAAAGAAACCAAAGCATTAATTTACAGTTTTCTTAAGACAAAATAACTGGATTTCCTTATTGCTGATACTGACAATTATTGCATTTCATTTCACACTGTGGAAGCTTACAGGTGCCAGAAAGTGATCAGCTGATGGCTGTTCACGGGAGCGACTATCCTCATGTCTGTGCATTGTTTTATCTGCTCTGTGTCCTATATTATCACCAATCAGGTGTTTTTACCAGTTAAAAGACCAGTTGAATTCATGCAATGCGGTTTTTATTCGCCAAAATGACACTGCAGCCCCTACAGTGTAACAAAAAATGTCATTAATGCTTCAAAAATAACTTTATTGCATTCACGAGGGTTATATTTTAAAGATCAGGGTTGCATGCTTTATGTTAAAGCTGTATTGCAGAGTTCACATACTTCTGCAACTGCTTTGATCTGGATCAAACATACATAATATGCAAATACATCGAAGTTTATGTCTGCGACGTTAGCAAAAGTGTGCCTTTGTGAAACTTTAATGTGTCTCGCAACCAAATAATTGTGACCAGAAGTACAGTTTATAGTGTAATCTGGTTTAGACTGATTTACAGATGGCTTTTGTACATAAAATAAAGGAATTCTCTCATTTTTGATCATCCTATGAGCTGTGATCTTTAAAGTATAACCCTCATGAATGAAATCTAACTATTCTTCATGACAGTTCAATCACAATGCAGGGGCTAAAATCACTTTTTTGCAAATGGAAAAATGCATTACATGAGTTAAACTGGTCCTTTAACCGGCAATAACAACGTAATTGGTTATAATGTAATGCAAAGAAAATGCACAGACTGATATGGATAATTGTTTCCATGGAAATCAATCACTTTTTGGCACAACCTCGACAAAAGCACCTCTGAGGAGTCCCGTGACTGCCAAACACAGCTACACACACTCAAAACACTCAGCAATAAAACTTCAAAATGACTTGGACAACTTCAAGTTCAAATGAACTTTGCTCGGTGTTCCGTCTACCTGCGCACATGTCGGTGGAAAAAATTCCGTCGCGACTCACCTGAAAGTTGTTCTGTTCCCCCGCACCAACTTTGACGAATGGACTTCAGACAAGTCCACCAGCGCCCTGAGGAGCAGAGAGCTCGTTTTGTTGGTCATTGTCAAGTTTGTGATGGAGACCAGTGAGTTTCTTCGACCGGAGGAACGTCTCTGCTATCAGAAAAGCCGCAGCAGCAGCAGCAAACCGGCTCAGTCCTGAACCGAGAGCAGCTCCGCTTTCAGACTAGTCGGGGGTGACGTCATGCGAGGTGCACTGGCTCTGGCCAATCAGATCTGTGATAGGTGATTTGAAATTCGCAGCTGATTCGTCAGGATGATCAGAGACTTAATGCAATAATTAGCAAATCAGTCAATTGGTTGATCGAAAAATTAGAATTGAGGATGAGTATTTATGGAGAGATTTGTTAGACAAATACTAATTAAAAAAAAGAAGTTTGCTACAGACTGTGTTATCAGTGGAGGTCTAGTGTTACTAGAAAATGTCTGTATTAGGGGTCATTTGATTAGCACTTTCTGTAAACCACTTGTTTTACTGCTTTATAGGAAAAACAAAACTGATACAACACGATTGAATTGTCCACTAGGGCCCTTCGACTAAAAATAGAACCAAAAATAAAAACAAAAACAAAAAAAACCCCACAAAAAACACAAGAATAATTGAAATAATGATAGAAATACACAGAAAAATACATTTAAAAAATAATACATAGATGTATATAAAGAATAATACATATAACATAGAATAATACATAAAAGATAATACGTTGAAATGTCTAGAGAGATAAGGCTTGCAGAGTCAGTAACTTCTTTTAAATCACTTCTTAAAACCCACTTTTATCGACTTGCTTTTATGTGAAGTTTACTTTTAGCTTTAATTCGTTTCAGTGTTTCATTCTGTTTTTATGCACCATCCACCTGTTTATTTTACATGTTCTCTTTTTTTTTCGTAATTTTTTTTAGCTGCCTGGTTCTTTCGTATGATGTCGTTTTTAATTCGTTTTTATTCTTTAAGTCTTTAGATGTTTTACTGTCAAAGCACCTTGTGAACGCTGTTCTCAAAGGTGGTAGAGAAATAAAGTTATTGTTATATTGTGGGATGCATAATCACTACAAACCCACATAAAACTAAAAAGGAAGTAAATATTTCTTGCCTCATTGTGAGTACATTTCGCACACATGAGTCATTTGTGACCAGCGTTGACGATCAAGTTAATAGAATTTCCAGTAGATTGTGCAATCAAGCCAAAGTCTAAATGATAGTGTGTGTTCAGTAAGCACAAGCTGTTCACATAATGAAACTGGACTTTGATGCCATAAAAGAATAAAGGCAACCACTTTATATTCAAATTGTCATAATGTTTAACCCTATTCAGGACTTTCATGTTGCCATACAAAGAAGGTCTTTCGGGGTCCATTAGACCCCAAGAAAGAATATGTGCAAAATATTTGTTGGTATTCATTATAGATTTTTATACTATGTTAAATACATTTTCTGATAAGTTGACGTATTTTTGGTTCCAAAGGCAGGAAAAATGTCCAAAAGACCCCAAAAGTCCTGAACAGGGTTAAAGCAGAGAATAAGTAAAAGTATCACCAAACAACAACAATCAAAAGCATAGACTAAGACAAAGTTTAAAGTGTTGTATAAAAGTCGAAAACTCCATTTGACTTTTAGACATTTTACAGCAGCCTTCATCTGACCCTCGTTATACTGATGTGCATAATACCACAGACTATAAGAGGCCAACATGCGTCTAAGTGCTGCTGTATTAAGTGGCTGTGCGGTAACACAGCCAGAACTGGTAGAGCAGGATCCATTTCAGGATTTGTAGAGTGGAATTAGGCCACTTGATCGGGGTAGGATCTAAGGACCTCAGACAATCCCATCAAAGATAGGTCGGAAGCGTAACTCGTAGACGTACAGACAAGATAACCTGTCTCATGTTAGAGGAGAACATACTGAAGGGTTTAACACTCCCAGAATGAGCCAAACGTAACACGGGGAATGGATGCTGTTCCAGCTGGCCCTCTTTCAGTCTGATCCATGAACTTTAATAAATTCAGTGATTCAAAAGCCCAACTGCAGCAGGTTATCCTTACAATCTTCAACAATTCAGAAGGATTATATATATGCATATTTATCTTGACTTTCCTTATAATTATGTTAAAATAGAAAGTGATAAGAGGTAATTTTTTGTTTTTGTTGTCTTGAATTACTTTCTACTGGATTTGTTTTGTTTGTTCATGTTGACTTCTTATTACAAGACAGTCACTAAATTCACTAAGCTGCTTGCCACCAGTGTCACAAAGTCACTTTATTGATGTCACTTGTTTCACTTCTCTTGCATTTCAGGGAATATGTTAATTATTGACAGTCTGTCAGTCGATAGACTTCAGTCACCCATCACCTGTAAAAAGCATGCAAGCTCTGAAGATAACAAGCCAGTGTTAGATTTGAAGGATTAAAAAGCCACCTATCATAATGTAATTGCCCCAGTACTTTCAAAATTACCTAAGCTATTTCTCACGGCAATGTGTACACAGGACCAGGGGACAGAAAAGGAATCCGAATCGAGGTCAAAGGGCTTTTAGGGCTAAACCTTATTTTGCGGTATTGCATAATTTCTTACATTACCACAAATACTTGAGGATACTTGTCATAGATTTATCTCTGTTTCAAAATATTTGCTATAATTTTCCATTGCTTGAGATGTAACACAGTCACATTAAATCCAAAATAAGTGTACAAGAAAAAATGATTCAAGTCACCTTAGCTCATTCCAAATAATTTATTTATTAATCCATGCTTTTATTCATTTATTCCAGAATTGTTCATTTAAGGCGTCCATTTCAGCAAACAGCAGAAAAGAAAGAAAACATACAACTGCAGTCATTTATGCAAAAAAAAAAAACAAACCTGCATATTTGAAAATACCATCATTAGGCAATTATTTTCACTTGTCCCTGTGTTCAACAAATAGCAAATCAAAAATGGCATTAGTAGTTTTTTGTTTTCACTTTAACATTCTGTTAAGAAGCATGTTAATCCCAATAAAACATATCAAGCATGAGGAATGCAAAAGCTGTGGTAGCCTATGATTCAAAACATAAAACATAATCTTTAACAAATATTTTGCCAACAAATCAAAGAAAAGTCTATTTTTACACTTTTTTGTGATAAAGAGTGTTCTGATAAGTGTCATGTATAAATAGAAGCATTGCGTCTCTCCCTTCCATGAACTCTACTCACTAAACTTTGTCCGCACTGCCCTTCCCAGCTGAGCAAGGACAGCAACAGGAACAGCTTTATTTGGAGGGATCAAAATTAGAAAAGCTAAATATTAACCTGAGAGCAGTGTTGAAATTCTGGAAGAGGTTAATGTAGGATGAGGAGCCCGACACAGAGAGACATACCGGAGACTCAGGTGACTTAGGTTGAAATAAGGTTTACTGAATTCAGGAGAAGGATAACGAACTGAACTGCACTTCATGCATGCAATGCCAGCATCAATTCTACAGGTCCCTCTCACACCTACAGTCCTCCCTCAGTGGGAGTCACACCCAGATTTATAGGAGAAAGGGAAACAAAGATAAGTTGGCGCCTGGGTAACCTCTGGCCTTGAGAGGTGCAGGTTGTCCTGCCTGTCCTCCTACAATGAGGTTTACATGAGGTTTACGTGAGAGCACACCTCTGCTACAAGCACTACATTTACCTAAGGAGGTCAATCAGGGTTCAATATCTTCTCTAAAAGATTAAAGATTAAAAACAAGGAAAGCATTTTTTCCTTCACAAGCAGTGGCTGCACATAAAGTACTGGCTTGATTGAAAACAGGGCTTGTAAAAAAAAAAAAAATGCTATTGCTCCTCAGTTGAGAAAATGAGTTTGCTCATAGCGCTGATGTACTGTGATCCATCTGGTTCTGTGACCTTCAGCTTGGTCAGAGGTGGCACAACGCTGTTGGTGAAGTATCTGAACGCGGGGCTGGGAGACTGGATGGCATCTAGAAATACCTTGGAGACAAAAAGTAAACACACAATTGTGTACATAGGTAGATGAGCTCCTAAACTGACACACAGAATTTCATAAATTTGTTGCAATAAACTTTATGGCTTTATGTAAGTGAGGCATTATGATCCTCAAATAAAATAAAATTAAATATTTGAAGAGTAATGCACTTTTTTCTTCAACATGAGGCACAACACAAGCCCCTGTCTGTGTATGTGATTACTACTGATGCACTTAACTGTATTTAATTGTAATTATCATTTTTTATTGTAGTTATGTATGGAAAAAATTGCACTGCAAAGTAACTGGAAAAAGTATTTAAGCACAATGTATGTGGAAACACATACAATCTTTTTAAAGAAGAAGTTAAAAATGTGATCCACCTAAAGAATTAATTATTTGATTTATTGTATTTTGGCATAACACACAAAGAAGCTGTGAAACTTTCCCGACTCATCTACAGTTGTTTACTCTGTGCAGGGTCAATTGATAAAATTTTCGTATTCAGAGATGCTGTCCTTTTCCCCACCCCAATATCAGTTATGTTAAAGAAAAACAAAGAGAAACATTTGACTTCTTCAAATTTTTCCGTATGTGTGTGAAAATACAATGTCAGGAGCTATTGATGCAGAATTGTGTGTCCGCCTATCAACAAAATGTTGTGTGATTTCTTCAACTTATTAGGTTAACGTATTGTATGATAGATTTAATGCAAAAATACTTCAGTAACACTCTTTAAATATTCAAACTGATTCAACTTTGCCAGTATTATAGACGCATTACTAATGAAGCTGTAATCTACCGAAGACATACAACCCACCTTTACAATGTCTTCAGTGTCCTGTGCAGCATTTTGGAAAATATCGCTGCAGTGCTGCAGGTATTTTTCATAGAGACTGAGTGTTTGGATATCAACCTGCTGGAGAGATGCATCCTCAAGCTCCACCTTCTGTAGGTTGGCCATGAAGTCAGTGTTGACTGGACCACACTCAATGAGACTCACACTGTAGGAGAAAGCACTTTGGTCAAAATTCTATCCTTACAGTCAAAAATATGTTATGCTCCCAAATAGCATTTAAACAAATCAAATGAGATGCAACAAACTTTAAAACTCACTGGATATTGAAGTGTTGCAGGAGAACAGCCAAACTCTCACATGCTCCCTCTATTGCAAATTTGCTGGCACAGTACACCTCATTAAATGGGAGACCTGCAAGACCATATTTTGGTAATTTCATGCTTGGTAACGAGCATCATCATAATCTACTCACATGATTTCTCATCATTAGAAAAACTGCACATGCAGAACACTTTTGGCATTCAGCAAATCCAAAATATGAACCTGCTTGTCTCACCATGAAGCCCTCCGGTGCTGCCAGTGACCAGAATGCGTCCCTGACCCTGAGCCTTCATTTCCGACAGAAAGGCCTGGATGGTCTGAACGGTACCCAGGAGGTTCACCTCCAGAATCTGCCTCATCGAGTCCAACGACTGCATCTCCAGTGGCCCCATCAAGCCCACACCAGCGTTACACACTGTGAGTAATGAGCACAGACTAATTACCACGTGCAAATCATATTCTATCCAGTCCAATTATAATCAGAACACACAGACAGGAGCATACCCAGAATGTCCACTCGTTTCTCAACAACCCTGTCTCTTGCATCCAGGATGGACTGTCGGTCAGTCACATCCATTTGGAGTATGTCCAAAGTGTCCTTGTGCAGGCCTTTCACACACTCTAAAAGACGCTCCTTCTTGGCCAGGTTTCTCATTGTGGCATAGACTAAACAGAAAGTAGAGCTTAGTAGCACGTTTTACTGTGTGTATAAAAACGAAATTCATACTTTGGGCTCATGCACAAATACAAATTAGTAATAGGCAACTGTTTTCACACAATATTTCTGCAAATTATTTGTTTCACCATATGTGTGCATGGTAGACCTGATGGTGTGTCAAGTGAAGTTATTTGTGTAGCACAACATTGCATGTTACACAGTGTCTTAGTGGCTTTAAAGGTTCTTACCTATACAGTTCTGACACAGTAGAAGCTCCTTAAGACTACATTTTATTACATAAGACGCACGATAACAGACCATGATTGGTAGATGCCAGCTATAGTTACCTTTGAATGATTTGTCGGGGTCAGAGGCCAGCCGAACTGCCAGGCTGAGACCAATCCCAGAGGAGCAGCCTGTGATCAGCACCACCTTCTTGTCCATTGAACCTGGTTCACCAACCTTCAATGGAAAGCAGCAGAAGCAAAGTGAGAGGTACACTATTAACTGAGCCAGACAATGGGATGGAGACATGAGAACTCCTTTCAGTGTTTTTAAGTCTTTCACAAGGCCAGTTATTCCTAAACATCTGCCTGTTATCAGCCACCTGGAGTCTCTCCATTTTTTCTCATGTCCTTGGTAGTACAGTTTATTTTTTTTCTCATCAATGTTTGTGTCAATGTGTTTCTGAAAGTGTTTATATTAGACTGACTGCTCTGTCTGTCGCAAATTCACTTACTTTTGAGAAAATAACCCCATCCAGAAAATCCTGCATCACTGTGCCAATGATGAAGTAGACCAATGATGTGAACACCAGGTGGCGGCAAAACATTATATCATCAGTACTGTAACACACAATGAATAATGCCACACTGACCTCTGGGGTGCCATTGACAACAAGACAATGAGGCTTACAATAGCCAGAAATTAGCACAATGGTTTTAGGTTTAAGGCACTGAGGGTGGAAAGTTTTGTTCTTATAAGTTTTCTGAAACCTTGCATCCTTTTCCCAGGCTTGTGTTGCGAGAAGTTGTTATTTCTGGAAACATAATTTTTAGATGCCATTCAGCTCCAGAAGTATTGATTCAAGTTAATACAGATGGAGCATCTTTAAAACCAACAATAATGTCTAAAATATTTCTCAAATGTGTGAGTTATCTCAGTTCACACATAATCCATCTGCATTAGTTGATCCAAGCATCAAAAATACTCCTTAAATGAGCCATTCAGTTGAGATCATTTTTGCACTGTCTGTTCCCAGGATTAAGAAATCCACAAAAACATCAGTGATGAAATAAAGCACAGGAGAGAAAAGTCAGTGATATGGGCCCAGGAGTCTTGAGTACCAAACTACGGTGCTATTTAAGTTTAATATAATCCCAAATCCTTTCATCTGTGGTCACAATTGTTTGGGATCTAAGTATTTCAAACAAGGAAATGCAGCAGGAATGTAGTTTGAAATGAGAGGAAAACGGGGGAACTTGTTATTATTATGATTATATGTTATATGATTAATGTCATCATGAGTTTTCACTAGGTGGCAACAGAGTTTCAGGTACAAACTATTCATCACTTAGTCTGCTCCCTTTTGAACATTTTGAGGACTTTGCTTTAGGTGACTATTTGATCAGATTTGATAAAGGATTATGCACTACAGTAGGCACACTCAATATGGTATTAGGTTTAGGAAAACTGGTCTTTTTTGGTAAGATACATATTATGTAACATTTACTTTGCAGATTCAATTCACAGATGATATTTGCGGGTATGCCCTCATATGCAGCATTTTTAAAGTCACTTTTAAGTCTGACAGTCCTCTGTTGTTCAGTCTTTTCTTCCCCTTTATTACCTTGCTGCCATCTTTCTCCATTCTTCGCGGTTACCATCACATGTGCATTCGCCTACAGATGATTTTCTGGGCAGGAAAAAAAAACCCAAACTTGCATGGAACATTTCAGCAGGCTGATTTAAAAAGAATTTCTTTTGCTGATGGGAGCAAAGCGAGTAGGAATTTCCTGCCATTTTGTTGCGTTCCTCCCCCAGAGCTGGCATCAGCTTGGCTGCTGTCCCAGAGTCTGTGGGACAGATAACAGCAGGCCTTGAACCTCTTTCAGATATCTACAACTCCCGAGCGTTGTTCAAACCCTTGAACTGATTGACCTTAGACATCACTTGGTTTGAGCTGTTTTATGGTCAGTGGTATGCATCCATTTGTTACTTCCATTAAATGCTTATCTTGTTTGGGTACTGAAGCTTAATTAAAGAATGTAAAGTGTTTTGACCCATATGCACAGTGCATTGTTAGTGTTCTTTGAAGAAGCGGTGAGGAAGAACATTAACATTTTGCTCAGCACTGTATGCTAATTGCTTTAACTTATGTGAAAAAAGGAAATGCCAGTAGAACATTTAAACTTATTATGGTTATGCTTTGAGCTTTAGTTCTCCTTTCCCCCTTTTCACCTGTACAAAGTCATGCAACACTCCAAAGAGAGGGCTGCACTTCATCCATTTCTTCTCTTTGAATCCATTCTGGCAGCATGGTACAGTTTGTGGTCCATGGTCTAGTGCAGTTGGGAAGGTTCCTGCTACACGTGGCCTACAGTCTCCCTGTGGCCCAGTAATTATCAAGAGAAGGTCTAGTGGCAGTGCACACTGGCCTGGAAAAGCCTTTAAAATGCCTCTTGGGTAAGACTGGCCCAGGGTACTGAGAGTAAACAGACTTTTGAAGACCTCACAGCTGTTTAGAGAAAGAGCAAAGATATCCCACGTGCATAGCCGTGTGTCTTTGTGGCATTTTTATTTTATTTTTTTTTAGAAAAGTGTTTGTTGGAGAGCTTGTAGATTCTGCACTGAGACCGCAGTGCAAACAGCGAAAGAGCTATTTGCTACTGCTTCAGGAGGAAAAACAGAACAGCTCCCTGGTGTCAGTCCATTCATGTGCTCGCCCTGTGGAAGACTGAGAGTCACATTGGACTGAGCAGACACATGTGATGAGTGCATGGTGTAGACACGGTACACGGTTTGTACTAACACCGAGGAGCTGCAGAAGCAGATGTACTCGACAGGATGTCCCATGTGAGAGCAATGAGCAGAAGTGAAACAGCTGAAGACGTGTTGTGGTGGTTGTGGTGAAGCTGAAAAGTCACGCTATACCTGGCAACAAAATCTAGTGAGGCAAATTTTAACGAAGGCGTTTCAGATGAAACGAAATATGCAGACAATAGATTTCTCAGAGATTTTATCTCCTTACGCAGGTACAAGATAAAACAGTTCAATGGCCTTTTGAGGCTGACAGAAACTTGTTCTTAGTCTCAAAAAGGCTGATGCCTGTCATTCTTGTGATTGCTTGATGTAATCTGCTGGAAGGGGTTCTCCAACAGCTTAGTAAGAGGAAGGAAAAAAAGGTCTTACTTATGATGGTGATACCAGGAAACATAGTTGATTAGTTAAATTTAGAATAAGACAACTAGGGCAATCATACCTGGAGTAGAGCAGTATGGATGCTAAGATACAGCGCTGTTGAACGTAAAATGTGTTGTTGAAGATGATGCAAATGTGATTCAAGATGTTTTAATCAATAAAGTGTTTAAAGTAACATTATTAATAGTAAATATGACAGAAAAATGGTTGAAATAGTTGTAGCCTAGCTGTTAAATAAATAGCAAATAGTTAAATGTTATGGATAAAGAGCTGAAAAAGCTAAAGGCACAGAATACCATCGTCCTCAAATGTATTCATACCTTTCTATTCAAGAAAAGGCTAAATTCACACTCAAATAAGTAGAAACTGAAAAAGTAATAATAAATAAAAATTTGCCAAATTACAATTTACTGAAATAAGACATTGCTTTGAATTGTGGTTGAAAAAAAATAATTAATAATAAAATAATTAGGAACCACTGCTCTGACTGAGATCTCCCATTATCTGTACATCCCAGATATTCTGAGATGTAGAACACCATGACTTTGTGCCTTATAAAGGGTCAGACTGTCCTTTCCCATTATTTGTGTCCTAGAACACAGCAGTTTTCTACAGTCAGTGAAAAGACTTTACATAAACGCTGTTAAATGGAGCAGACAACAATAAAGGCAGTGTTCCTAAGGAGACAGAAATGTCACCGAAATGTTATAATTTGATCGGTGTTTCTGCCTGTTGTTGTCTCTATGCCAATAAGTTCATATTACTAAAGCATTCTGATATCAACTTAATTCCTCTCTATCTGCCTAAAGGGATATGTGTCACTTTAAAAAAAAACAACACCAGCGTCTGCATCTGATGAGATAGAGTTACCGTGTCTGTGACCTTTTCTTGCAGTTCTTTCTTGACACACAAATATCCTTTCCTTCAGCTCTGGTTCTAACAGTTCAAAATTCAACTGTCAGTCGGTGAGAGAAGTTTTGTGCTTCTGTGTGTTAGAGTTGAGCTTTACGATATATGTGTTCCAAGGATATGTGGTAAAAATAGAAAGTATTCTGTTCTGTGAAACCCATCCAGCCTACAGGACAACTGGGACCGAAGTGAGGGATTGAAAGAATTCCCTCCTTAAAGAATGTAATCCGGGATGATCAAAACCCAAACCGAGGAGCTATAACTTTATGTGCCTGCTTATAAACTGCCAACTGATGAGAGATGTGGCTTTGACAAATCTGACGACCGCGGAGCTTATGGCAGGTTTACTTCAGTAAAGGGTAAAGAGAGAGGCTGAGAAATGTCCAGTGCATTTTTCACAAGGTAATATAGAGGCTTACTCTTTTCTGGTAAAACCATCACAGCTGAAACGGGAGAGGATGTGTGGAAAGAATGAAGACGCACACACTGAAGCAGCGTCAACACATTTTCATCTTCTGATATACAGAAAACCATTTCCTGAAACTATTTTAGCACAACTAGCGGAAATTCTGCAGACTTATTATTAACTCCTGCATTTTGAATTTAACTTACATGCAAGTTATTACCCTAATAAAGAGATGTAGTCATCTGGAAGCATTATCATTAATATACTTGCTGCAAGTTCAAGACAGAAAGAAACTACATATCAATATTTTCGGTAAGGAGCATTACAACATTGCTGTGGGACAACCCAGAGCAAAAACAAAGGCAACTCATGTCCTACCATGGGACAGAAACATATTTTATTTGTATATTTTCCCTGAGTTTTTGATGTATGTGATCAAGCAGGGTTCACACTATCCTGCTGGACATGAGGCTTTACGTCAGCCGTAACCCTCGGGGTCGCTGCTTGACCTGCTGCTTCGGCATTCCTCAGACCCGTTTGTATACAAAACTTTAGCGCTCCAGGAAATGACTGGAGTTGTGTCATGGGAAATGTCTCGTCCGTCTTGAATCAACTGTTCGAGGCATTCTTTCACGCTGTTATAGTGGGGACATCCTGTTCCTTCTCTTTTTCTGGGCCTTTAGGCACTCAAGTCTGTACTGGGACTAGACCTGACCTGTAT